GAGATAACACAGTATGGAGCTGGAGGAACACAGCAGGCCAGGCAGCATCAGAGGAGCAGGAAAGTTGACGTTTCGGGTCGGGACCCTTCTTCAGAAATGGGGGAGGGGGAAGGGAACTCAGAAACAAATAGAGAGAGGAGGGGTGGGACTGGGGAAGGTAGGTTGGATGGTGATAGGTGAGTGCAGGTAGGGAGTGGTGGGGATTGGTCACTGGGTGGGGAGGAGTGGATAGGTGGGAGAGAAGACGGACAGGTTGTGTCAGGTCAAGGAGGCGGGGATGAGAGGGAGGGTTGGTCATGGGATGAGGGTGGGGGTGGGGAGATTTACAAGTTCAGAATTGGCTTATTAGCATGATTCTCATTAAACCATTGAAACTAAGGGGAAAATCAGACTTTCTTCTCTAAACACTGAGAATCTCATTTTATCATTCTCGCCACATTCTCACAAATTGTTCACTACTGCCCACAAAGCTCAAGGCCTGGGAAGATTCTGCCCACTAGGTATGTCATTGAATTGATGGGAAATGACAAGTGGTGTCTCACAAGGTTCAGTATTAGAGCTTCAACTGTTTGCTATGGATGTTTTTATCTTAGAAAACACACCAGAAAGTCACATATTCAGAGTCAATACAGTATGGAGCTGGAGGAGCCCTGATGAAGGGTGTAAACCCAAAACATCAACTTTCCTGCTCCTCTGATGCTGTCTGGCCTGCTGTGTTCGTCCAGCTCCACACCGTGTTGCCTCTGACTCCAGCATCTGCAGTTCTTGCTATCTCTGAGTCACATATGCACGTTTCCTGATGACATAAATATAGGTGCTGTAGAAAGTACTGCAGATGGGAGCATAACATTACAAAGCATTGATACATTTAGTGATTGGGCTAAACAACAGTGGATGGATTTCAGTGCAGGTAGCTGTTAGTTTGTCCTTGTTGAATCAAATAAAGGTTGATTTAACTTGTTTTTTATTTGTCAGAAAGCTTGAAACACCAAAACGTCCAAAGTGATTTAGGGATTCATGTACATGGATAACAAAATTGTACTAGTCAGGTACAAGAAAAATTTCAAAGCCTACATAATTTTTGTCTACATAATGAGAAAATTAGATTATTAGGTTTTGCTAGAATAATACAAAGCCCTAGTGAAATAACATCTGGAGCACTGTGCACAGTCTGGGTATCACCTGTGAGAAAGGATAATTTGTCTTAAAAGGAAAGCACTGCTGATGCACCAAAATGTTAACAGGGCTCATAACTTTGAACTATGAAGAGATAATAAATCAATCCTTGGAATATAGAAGGTTAAAGTAATTTGATTGGACTTCAAGATTTTGAAATAAATTCTTAGAGTAGGTAAAGGAAATATTTTTCAGTTTTGGGGAGACTAGGAAGGAGAATGTAACCTTAATGTCAGAGCCAGGCCATACAACAGTGAAGTAAGGAAAAACTTCTTCACATAAAGGACAATAAAATATGGAACACAAATCCACACCCCCCACGGCCCACCCCACCCAGATGAAGCAGTAGATCCCAGCCCAGGCAATTACTTTAAATCTGACACCAATGGATTTTTGGCAGCTCAGGATATTAAGGGATCGCAGAGCCAAGTTGGGAGAATACTGTTGAACCATGATCAAATTGTCTGGTAGAAGATGCTCAATGGGCTGAATAGCTTGCTTCAGCTCTTATATCTTTTTGGGTCTGTCCTGTAATTTTTCCATTTACTTGTCAGCAGAGAAGCTATTTGTTTCTAATCATAAAGATTCTGAAGAACAGTAAAAGCAGACTGACTGTCATTTGACCAATAACTGGGGAAGAGATCCAAGGTCAAAATGGGTTTTCCATGGTTATCTTTCGTCATGGTCTCATCATATTGATTATTACAACTGACTTCACATTTTTCATTCATCCAGCAAGAGACTTGCACTTCTTGCCTAATATGGTTGAGTTAAACATATCTGTTTTCCAATGTATCTCAGTCTGCACTCTGGCAAGCAGCGAAAGAGTGTTTTTGTATGTCCTTCTCCAGTTTGAAGCTAAAGAGTCATGTGATATAACAACTTTATAGCAAACAAGATAATACCCAAGTTGAAACCTATCTATATAAAGCAATTTTTCACTACCTGTAAGAGACTAATGTCACTTTTTTCATGTTATTTTAGCAGTATCAGTGAAGAAAGCCACAGTCGGAAAATAAGTATAAAATGGGGTTCTGTGCAGATGGATTCCCATGCTTTTTGTAGGTGGTTAGATTTTTTCAGCAGAAGTGATGGAGGACCAGCAAAGTTTTGTCCAACTGTAAGTGGCTGCATTTAAATTGGTGTTTGTGTGTTAAATCCTCTGTCTTTATTGTTTTACTGGCACTGGACACTAATGATAGGAGCACACAACAAATGTCCAGCCTTGCAACAAGTAAATGTCCAAAGTAGGTAGTAATTTATGGCAGGTCTACATGTCAGTTTCATGCTGTCATCCCGTTAGATCTTTGATCAGAATTACAATTTCATCCTGCAGACTGCTTGGCCTTTCATTCTACAAAAATGAATCCACCAGCAATCCCACTCCATATCCTCTCATTGCGTGTCCCCAAAGTGCAGTTGGGAATGTTGCTGCAATCTATCGCAACAAAACTGAAATTAGAGTGGAAAATCTATTTGGGCTTGGAGACAGTACAACGAATGGACACAACCTTCTCCCATCCTGTCAATGTTCTGCTGGTAATCCTTGCAAGCAGAAAATTGAGGCAAAAGAATTCATACATTGAAAAATCTCTGATAAAAATGGTTTGAATTACCAACGTTTCTGTTGATATTTTTAAAAAAATTCTTATATGTTAAACATTAAGTTTTTTTTAAAATTTCAGTCGAAAAGGCTTTAGAAGCTGTTGCGGTCAACATCCTCCATCAATTATTTTTCACACATATGTCACTTTGAAATGCAGATTCTGATTTGACAGAAAGTGCAGTATGCTAAGGCCCAACAACATAGCACAGTGTGATCATAGTGAAACGGTGCTATTAAATAGTGAGATAGAAGCTATTTTCTATTTTAGCACAATACTATTGCAAGTACTTTATTACAACAATTCTCCCGTGAAAAATTAATTTGCTAATTACATTACTTCAACATCAATGTGATCATAGTAATCAAAAATAAGAGTTCAACATAAAGTCAAAGTCATATACAGCCTCTGCTCTGAAACAGTCTCTAAGCAGCCATGTGGCACGGAATCAATATTGTGTTTTTCCTAAAATACTAGCTCGAGAAATCTCTCCTTTACTCTGCACATGATTGGTATATTCTGTGAAGGATCTGTCTTTTTCAAGCTTACAAGAGACGATTGCAATTGATTGAAATTATTGTAAATGAGAAAACACAGGCATTTTGTGCGTGAGAAACTTGCCCTGAAAATTCAACTAGGTGGACTGTCAGTTTCATAAATTAGAGGGAAGTCAGTTATGGAGCTGTGTACTAGAAGTCTTTACTACATATTATTAGGGGTTCACTAACAAATCTAATACAAATTAAGGAGCAAAATGATCTATATTGGTTATTGTAAGAATCTAATTTCTGCTTTGAAATCTTCTCAAAAAAAGAGGAATACACAATAAAAGCATTTGCAATAATTAGAAGCAGGAACATAAGCAACAGAGAAGTAAAGAGGATGTTTTACAATAGGAATATTTCATGCTATTCACCAAGAGTTGCTTATTGAATATTCTGTCAACTGTCAAACAAAAATTCTGGATAACTGCCACTGAATACATCTTGGAAATGTAATAACCATTGATAGAGAACTGAGATAAACAATTCTGGGGAGCTATTGTAATTTTAGTGGAAGGCATTGGCAAATAACTCAAATTGGTTGCATAAATCTGCTTTTACGTTGACAGGCTTTACCAAAATATTGTGCATTTTCCATCAAAATAAAAATTGGCATGATCTTTTTTCTCGTTGTTTTACAAACCTCTATAATATTGACATCACCCCAGATTTTCAAGCCCCCATATTTTTTAATTATGTTAAATTCTGCAAACTGAATTTTCAAGGCAAGTTTCTCATATACAAAATACCTGTGTTTTCTCATTTACAATGTCTTTTGCAACCTGAGAAGGCTCCTCACACTTTCATGCTTTTAGTACAAATGTGACAGGGTTGCAGTGGTTTGCTTCATTCAGAAAACATAGGGAACAAGCCCTCTTCTCAGGATCTGTACACTTCTGCAATTCTACTTCGTAATGTTTAATTGTGTGCTGTTTGCAGAAAATAATCTGGCAGAAATTACAGGTTGGAACACACACAGTTGGGAGTCAAATAGCAAGCAATTTATCAACATCATCAGTCTTCGAAAAATCTACAACATGAAGATCCGACTATAAAATATGACAGGAGCATTGATACTACATATCACTGCATCACATTTTCCTATTTACTCGCTCCCTGTGTTAAATCACTGTTTTCAATGGTGACAAAAATGAACATGAAATTCCAAAAGCTTGTTAGTTTTGTATGTACTTAAGGACATGCACAAAAGTCGAAACTCAGTGACCTGTACTGAAGCTGAATGATTATGTAGCATGCTTGAAAGAATAATTATCAAACAACAGAACAAAGACTGCTCTTTGAATATATTTAATTGATTATTCATCTGGCTATTGATTACAGTAATATGAGGGCATTGCAGAGAAAACATATTGAGATCTTACTGATAAAATATTGCAGTTTAGTTGTGTCTGAGAATAACCTTTGGAACGAAATTCAAAGGCGTTGCACATTCAGAGGCTGAGTGCACTTGTTAGCCACTGTTATTGGAAAGCTATAAATAAAACACATTATAGCACATCTGTTTGCCTAGTGATGATATGTTCAGTTTTCGTCAATGCCCTGCAACTAAAAAGCAGGACTAAAAAGTCAGCAAGAAATACAGGAAGTACACAGACACATTGGCAATGGAGTCAGTGTCCCACCTTTTATCTGAATATTTATACAGGGGATTCACTAGCTTCCATGTGACAACTCCGTGCCGCCTATAATATTCAAGAGCACATCACTTGGAGCGTTCTGGATCGTGACTGAGGATGCAGTTTGTATTTGACTGCTAATCAGGCAGTGGCTGTGTCTGAGCAAGGCTTCAGTCAAGCAAGGCAGAAGAGAGCAAGGCACCGGCTCCGTGGCTATAGACTGAGCAGCAGCTGTGCTCGGGAAACGTCAGCGTGTGTGCAGTTCTGATTCTTCAGCTGAGCACTCCTGAGAGACACAGATATAAAGACATCGCACAGGAGCTCGGTCATTACGCAGGTTCGCTTCTGAAACTTGCCCCCTCTCCAACTGCTTGGCACCCAGCCTTTCTATCGCTGTTTCTGTTTTTTGCTCCTCAAGGTTCCACCGTAAGATTCTGCACAAATGATGAACTTTCTGCGCCGGAGGCTTTCTGACAGCAGCTTTATTGCTAATTTGCCAAATGGATACATGACTGACCTGCAGCGGCCAGATCCCCCTCAGCCTCCTCCGCCAGTTTCCCCCACCCCAGAGAGGAGACAGTCGAGCCAGTCTACCGGAAGCAGCTTCTTCAGCTCCATTTCAAATGCTGTCAAGCAAACTACAGCTGCTGCCGCTGCTGGATTAGTGGAGCAAACATCCACAGGCGCTGCCAAGAAAGCCAAAATTCTCCTCGTCATCGATGAACCTCACACCGACTGGTAGGTACCCCTGTGTCTGCTCATTCAGGCAGCTTAGCACAACTGTGCTTGGCGTTATGAGCAGTGTTCCCTGCTAAGCAATAGCGCAAAATCACTCAGTAAAATTGTATTCTTGGAGAAATAGCTTCACAATTCAGTGACATTTGAAAAACACATGCATGTGTTTGAAATACCGTTACGAGGCTTAATAAGTGCTCTGTTTTTGGACACGTAATAAATATAAAGGCAGTTTTAGATTCTCAATACATTGCATTCATTTCCTTTTATTTAGACAACGCTGGGGCAAGGAATGTGTAAAATAGTGGTTTAATTGCGTTTTCAGTAACAAGCGGCTTGTACTTGCTGCTTTCCTCTTGAATATTAATTGCCATGGAGGAATACACCAAAGGGAGGAGGGGATATACCCAAAGTGCTCCTGTAACTCTCATGAGTCTTTACAACCTTCCACACTGCACTGCGGAGCAACAAGCCTGTTTTCCAGATCTTTGAACCATATTTCCTCTGCAAGGCAGCAGTCACATATAAGAAAAATCTTTTTTATTTGTCAAGACATTGCATACTGGTAGGTGACTAATAAATCAATACAGACCAAGCTCTTATTTAACATAAGCACTTCATATCTGGCAATAGAATTTCACTGCCCGGCCAGGATTTCCCTCTTCATTGTATGTTTT